ACCCAATTAATTGATATATTTATGGAAATGATGAGAGTTTATTTATTATAACTAGAAGAGTACTCGCGCAATGCAGCGAAACATATATCGATTTCAATGATCTATTTTATTATTTGTCTCTGTCGATGTTATAATACGATTTTATGTGTTTGTAAGAAAGCAATAATGATTTTATTTTTGAATAAATATAAATTTGAAAATATCATAAAATTTTGAGAAAAAATATATCAATGTTAATATCAAATGAACTATTTAAAAGTTCTCATTTTTTATGTAATTTTTTTAATATATTTTTTATTATAATTTAATTTAAGTTTAATAACGAAATAATTTATTTTTAGTTTAATAATATAATATTTTATAAAAGTAATAATTAAGTATTATGTTAGAACTCAATAATTATCTTAACTATATTTTAATTTTTTTATATTTAAAATGAGATGTTTATCCTATATTTGATTATGTTTATCTGCAGTTAGTTACACGAATTCAGATATGGAGCTTTAATAAGTTGTGCTTACGCACAATCTACTTGCAATCTTGAGTTTTAAGTAATATGTATTAATAAACAGTACTTTACGCATAAAAAGTGGTCTTTAAGAGTTTTTGTCAAAAACTTTATAATATAGTATAGATTTGAACATTTATAGAAGATGACTATAGTTTATTAATTATGATTAAAATGTTTATATTATGAAACAATCAAAATTTTTATGAAATCACATATTTATCAAATTAAATGAACGGTTAAAATTAAGTTGTATTGGTTGTATAAATGTTAAAAGTTGTATAATAACTCACCTCTTTTTATATAATATTAAAAAAAGGAGAATTAGATCAAGTGTATTGATCAAAACCACACAACATGTATGATTACAAATGGGAGGCATTGTCAAATTCCTAAGCACGCCATGCCACCTCTTTTTTGACAAACACACTCACAATTATTTGACTCCCACAACCTCCGTTTCAACTCATCACTTTCTTCTACATTTTTATATATCAATTAATTCTATAATCTTTCTATAATATATAGAGAGAGAGATGAGCGATCAAATGAAAACCACTCTAATTTATAAAAATCGTAAAAACTACTATCATCCGGCGTTAATCTTATGAAATTTTTTCATGAAATTGTTAATCTTGTGAAATTGTTTCATATAATAACTTTTTTGATGAAGTTGTTTCATATATGGTTATGAAATTGTTTCATATACTACTTAATGAAATTTTAATGAAACTGTTTCATGTATTTCTCTAAAATTAAAATAATGAAGATGATAATATCCAAGATTAACATTCTCCACAATAAAAATGATTAATCAACCTCTCATAATTACAAAAAAATAAACAAAATGAAAAATTATGATTGGTGGAATGAGGTTTTTGCAAATTGAGCGGTTTTCATTTGATCGCTCTCCTATATATATATATATATATATTAGAACCCACCTTCTGGAATTAATCTAACAGATTTCATATATTCTCACATGATATACCAAAGCTAAAATCTAATACATCTAGGAACTCGACACTCTAGACAATCTGTATTCGTTTAACTCCTCACCTATCTATCCTCCTCGTAACTCCATCTAACGTCTTCTGGAGGAAACGTATTATAAAACCATATCGATTAGATTTTGATCATTTCACCTCGATATACGTTAGAACCCCTTTATCTTTTCAATGACTCTTTTAAAAAGTAATCTAACGAGTTTCAAATACTCTCGTAAACTAAAATATGAAATGGGAATTCATGTAGATCTTAGTCATTTGTTTAATTTATTACCATAATTAACTCATAACACACCTACACATTTACCACTGTCACTCCATGCAAATTCAAGAAATCTTTAGCTGACCACCCCCCACCACCACTCACCCCTCAAAAGCAACCACCTTTTTTACAAACCATAATCAATATTACAACCCCACAAAAACCCTTTTCTCTCGTCACAAAAGTCTGACTCCAATTATAAAAGATGGTGTTTGATTGGTTTGAGCTTGACTTCAAATGTTAAAAGTATCTGGAAGTGTCAGGTTTAAATCCAATGAGTAATAAAAATCTCTTTGTGGCCACGGAGGTTCAAATGCGGTGATTTCAGGCTGTGTGCAAAACAAATGGTCGTCTTGGAATTAGTCGGTTCGCATAGCGGGTTGTACTCCAATCATCATCTTCAACCCCTCTTCACATTATAAAACTTCCATAATCAAACCCTACTTTCCTCTTTTCAAACAACCAAAGATATGCCCATTTGCAAATGGGATCTAATCATCTTTCTCTCACTTGGGTTCTTCTTCTTTTCTTCTCATTACCCTCACAATTTGCTATTCAAACTCATGGAATCAAGTCCACAAGACTTCTTGATCTTGCCATTAGATATTACACCTTCAAGTCATACAAACACTTCAAAACCGGCTTGTCGTATAACGTCCGTTTGCCGTCAAATCTCACGGGGATTAACGTTAGCACGGTTAAGTATCGTTGCGGAAGCCTCAAACGGTACGGTGCAAGCATCAAAGAGTTTCAGTTGGGAGCTGGTGTGGACGTCCGTCCATATGTAGAGAGAGTTCTTATAGTAACACAAACCCTAGGAAACAATTGGTCTCGTATTTACTACGAAAACTACGACCAACTACTCGGTTATCGACTCGTGTCTCCGGTTTTAGGGTTACTGGCGTATAACGCCGAGGACGATACCAAATTCAGCATGCAATTCGAGGTTAAAATTCAGTCACCGAACGTGAACGGAATAAAGATCGATTTCAATAACTACACGATGGCGAAGAACAACACGTTGGCGGGTCGGATACAGATGTGTGCGACGTTTGGAGACGATGGAAAGGTGACGCTCGAAAAAGAGGTTGCACCGAACATCTGCGCCACCACGAGCCACGGCCATTTCGGGTTGGTGGTGCGGTCGCCATTGTTGCCGGAAAGGAAGAAGATAAAGCGGTGGAAGGTGGTGTTTGGAAGCTCGGCCGGGGCGGCCATCGGAGCTTTTCTTCTGGGGTTGCTGTTGATCGCCATGTTTGTGAAGGAGAAGAAGAAAGCTAGATTGGAGGAGATAGAGAGAAGGGCTTATGAAGAAGAAGCACTTCAAGTTTCCATGGCAGGACATGTAATTCGAGTTCAAAATGTTCATCAAAATCCACGGTGAGCTTAGTTTTTGTTAATTAATTTGTATCCATAAATTAATTTATATTATTAATTAATTTAAAATGGTTATTAATTAATTTCGAAATACCATTTTAAATTAATTAATTACCTTTGCTCCTGGTTCTTAAATCGTTGTTTGTTAAATTTAAACAAAAATTGTATGAAAAAGTAAAGTAATTTAATTTGATTTTTATTTTGGGTTTAATATATTTTTAAAACTTTTGTTTTGATATCTAAGATGTAAAGTTTTAAACATTTAAATATCTGGATAAAGTTGAAGCATTAAATAGTTATCATGTTGATATGACATCTAACTCGGTATTATTTGTTGACGGAGTTGGTGACATAGATTTTTTTTAAATTTAAAATTAGTCTTTTATCTATACTATATTATAAAGCATTTGACAAAAACTCTTAAAAATCATTTTTTTATGCATGAATTACTGTATATTGATGTATATTACTTAAAGTTTAAAGATTACAAGTAAATTATGCATAAATACAACTTATTAAAGCTCCATGTTTGAATTCGTGTAACTAACTGCGGATAAACATAATCAGATAAAGGATAAACATCTAATTTTAAAATCTAAAAATCTAAAATGTAATTAGGATAATTATTGAGTTTTAATAAGATAATTAACTATTATCTTTATAAGAAAATTATATTACTAAACCAAATATAAATTACTTTGTTATTGAACTTAAATTAAATTATAATTAAAAATTTTGAATTAAAAAACAAAAATTGAGGAATTTTAAATAGTTAATTTGATGCTAATATCGATATAATTTTGTCAAAATTTTATAATATCTTCAAATTTATATTTTATTCAAAAATAAAAACATCATCGTTTTTTCAAAATCACATAAAGACCATATTATAACATCGATTTAAAATAAAAAATGAAATGAAATATTAAAATCAAGATGTGTCTCGCTGCATTGCGCGAGTACCCTTCTAGTTTAATTTAAAATTAGTCTTCAACCGGTTATCCAGGTATTTAAATGTTTAAAACTTGACATCTTATGTACCAAAATGGAAGTTCTGAGAGTACGTTACTAAAAATATGAATCATATTAAAATACATTACTTTTTCATGTAATTTATCCTTAAATTTAAATGATAGTTCATTTACAATGCGTACCCAAGAATTTCTTTGAATGGATATATCTTTAAAGTGGATCAAATATCTGTAAAATAACGATTGACATAAAAAAAAGTCAATTATATCAGTTTAGGGAATAAAATATATTTTTTTCCAAATGAAATCGTTTATGATCTTTAAATAAATATATGTCCACTTGAAAATAAGATTAACGATTTTTTAAGATGAATTGACATGAGAAAAAAACATTAAAGAATAAAAAAAAATTAAAATTAAAATAAATCATAAATTAAAATTGGAGAAAAATTAACAAAAAGTTGTCTTGGCATAATGATAGTAACGTTCACAATGTTTCACGTGTATCACAATGCAAGGCTAATTTGGTCATTCTACCTATTTTATTATTAAATAATTTTTTGGTACAAGTATATGAAGCAACTAAGTTTTTTTTAAAACCCTATGTTAACCCCCCAAAACTAACATCATGAGAGTCCCAAACAGACTACAAAAAGCAAAACCATCTGGTCTATTATTCGTAGATTAGTGTTTGTTGGAGTTGTCTATCATGTTTGGCAGAAAAGAAACGATCATATCTTCAAAAATAAAAGAAGATCTTATGACATGGTAGTCAAGTCCATATCTGATGATGTCCGGTTTAGACTGATTGACCTTACCTTGAAGCTTTCCCCCAACGTTGTTCGTGCTAGGATTGTCTGGAACCTTCCCTAGTGGTTAGTTTTCATGTAATGGGTTGTCAATGCGAATCAGCTTACATTGTGAGATGTCTGTCTGGATGATCGTTCTATTTAACTCTCTTATTACTTTACGTTGTTAATTGATTCAGGTTTTATTTTTATTTTTCTTAAACTGCAGTCCAAACTTGTATTTATGCAATCCAAGCTTGTAGAATAAAAAAGTTATACTTACCCTCACATCGTTAGCATGTCTATCGGCCGTTAGTGCCAAAAACCAAGTCCGAAGAAAAAAACCAAACCACAAGAAAGTTTCTATAACTTCCAAACTGTAGGTACTAAATCTGCATTGATTTGCAAACCAAAGGGACTAAATCTGCATTGATTTGCAAACCAAAGGGACTAAATTTGTAATTTATTCAAAGAGAAATGGAGCTTGTATTCGGAGCACATTTCATTCATTCTACTTTCTTTCTTCCTATCAACACGTGGGATATATATATCTATACTAAATATAAAACATTTGACAAAAACTCTTAAAAAGTAGGGAAAAGTACAATAAAAACCAATGAACTTTCTTGTTTGGAATGATTAAGTCCTTGAACTTTTTTTTGGAACAAATAAGTCCTTGGACATTCCAAAACATGTTAAATAAGTCATTGGACAATTTTTGGAACAAATAAGTCCTTGAACAATCCAAAACATGTTAAATAACTTCTTGAAAAAATAAAGTGGTAAAATAGTGAAAAAAATCCTGAAAAAAAACCCAATGAACATTCATATTTTGAACGATTAAGCCCCTAAATATTTTTTGAACCAAAAAGTATTTAAATCTATAAAATTAAACAAATATAACAAAAAAGTACTTACATTTACAAAAAAATAATTACCATTTTAACTAGTTGTACAAGTCATAAGAATGTATCCAACATGTTTTATAAAAGTTCAAGAAGTTATTTAACATGTTTTGGATTGTTCAAGGACTTATTTGTTCCAAAAATTGTCCAAGGACTTATTTAACATTTTTTGAAATGTCTAAGGACTTATTTAACATATTTTGGAATGTCCAAGGACTTATTTGTTCCAAAAAATTGTCCAAGGACTTATTTAACATGTTTTGGAATGTCCAAGGACTTATTTGTTCCAAAAAATTGTTCAATGACTTATTTAACATGTTTTGGAATGTCCAAGGACTTATTTGTTAAAAAAAAAGTTCAAGGACTTAATCATTCCAAACAAGAAAGTTCATTGGTTTTTATTGTACTTTTCCCTAAAAAGTATCGCTTGAAAGTTCAAATTAATATTAACCATGGGTTATTAAAAGTTCTCTCATTCATCTCATATTCAATTGCTCTATAATTCTTTGTCTCGCTCTCGATCTCTTGATTCATTGATCTTGGTGTAAATCGAACACATTTGTAGAGTCGTTTACATATGTTGGATTTTAAATATATTGGATTTTAAACTATCATACAATTTTTTTCATCGATAGACTGTAATTTGAACCATAACTCTTATTTATTCAAATTGTATTAATATGTAAAGATCAAGTGTAACTTATATCATCGTTAAATTTTCTCTAACAAAATCAGTAAAACTTCAAAATCGTTAAAATTCACGGTTCCCGCCGTATTACGCGGGTACACAACTAGTATATATATAAAGAGATTCATCACTAACCCATTGAAATGTTTCATTTCTAATGGGACGGACGGAGAAAATACAATACGATAACACTAAACGTAACGTAAAATTACAAGCCAAATGCACATATCCATGTAGCATTAACGGAACAATGACTCAAACCCTTTCAAATAACATGCAACAAAACAAACCTGATGTTCAAGAAAAGTGAGTAGCAACTCTGCACAACAACATAGTGGGTTGGATATCCAGGTTAATAAAAAAAAACTCTGCACAACATGAACTGTTGAATCAATGGAAGTTGACGTTGGCTTGGTATGTTAACCCTAAGTTCCAATTAGTCGGTGCAACGTTGTAAGCCGTAATGGTTTGTTTGGTGGTGTATGAAGTTAGCCTGAAAGAGAGGGCTTGACCCTGAAGAGTTGCAAATGCTTGGTACGAAGCTCCCCAGTTATGGCTCATGCTGATCCAATCGGTCTTGGTTCCTTTCACCCACATCTGTTTGATGTCACCCGCACCCGCGACGTTCATAACATACACCAAAAGCCAGTACCCGTTTCCTTGGAACGCAAATCGAATACCACCTTTCCTAATCGAGTTACATGGAACCCTAAAATACCCAAAAAATAGCGTGTTAAGCCAACTTGGTTTCTTCTACTTGTGGTCGTAGATGGTTCTACGATCAAAAGAACGTTACAGCTTGAAGTTATAGCAAAATCGGCTTTATATGACACTAAAAATACTTAAAGATACTGTTTTATAGGACTTAAATTTATTGGTCCAACAGTTATAAGGGGCTGTTTGGCAATTGCTGAATAGTAAAGGTGCATAATGATTAAGTGGTCAGAATGATTAAGAGGCTCTCATGATATAATACAAAATGAAATATAATTGTTTGGTACTTGTGTACAATAAAATTAGGGCTCTCAATGGTTAAGGGAGATTCATGATACAAAATCATTCAGAGAATTTTAGAACCATTAAGAGGCAGACTTTTTTTACCAAACAAGATTCACCTCTTAACGATTCAGATGTTGACTCTTAATGGAACTATTAAGAGGAAAACAAACAACCCTAAAAACTTGTTTGGACACATAAAAACGACCTATCAACTTATTATAACACTTTTGCATATGATGTACAATTATTTGGTCTTATGAAACAGTTTATTAAGACATTTAAACATATTTGACGTCTTATAAAACCGTTTTTACTATGGGTTTGCAGCGTTTCAATAAAGGAACAGAAAAGTACCTGCGGTACATGACGGGGACGATGCCGGCCTTCCATTGAGCAATTTTCATGAATGCAGGTTTAGCCATGTCGAAATGGGTTCTGGGAGGATTGCACCATCCGCCGTTGTTGGAATCCTGAGACCAGTTGGGCGGGCAGAGGTTGGTGGCGGTCACGGTGGTGTAACCCGTATAGCACCATGGAGACTGAACACACCGTATCTGATAACACTGCCCACACGCATATCCGTCGTTAAAGATCGTCGAGCTCAATGCCGCTGTATCGATCCCGTATCCATTACTGATCAAGTTCCCGTATCCACAAGCACCTCCTGCATCAAACATTATAACTCATTGATGTTATATATTTGTTCTCCAATTTGATTAAAACACATACACTACAACAAAATCAGGTTTATAGGACACTCTAAAATTCTAAGTGTCATAATAGACCTCTTTATAGGACTTTAGTTTATAGGACTAAAAAAATAAAGTGTCATATCTAAAGGTGTTGTAATAAGTTTATATGACATTTTTTGATGTCACAAAAAGTTTTTTAGAACAATTTTAATATAAAGTGTCCCATTATTAACTTTATAGGACATTATTTGAAAAATTGTCCTATAAAAACAAGTGTCCTATAAAAAAATGAGAGTGTTCTATAAAGTTTCTAATGTGATAATTTGTATTAAAAATGTCCTAAAAAACTTGTTAAGACGTTCAAAAGCGTCATATAAACTTATTACTACAGATATGACACTTTATATTTTGGTCCTATAAATTAAGTCTTATAAAAATATCTATTTGGACACTTAGAGATTGGGGGTGTTCTATAAACTCAATTTTGTTGTAGTGATAGTTTCCGAACCATATATGAATAAGTTAAGACATCGCTACAATAAAATCGGTTTTATAAGAACGCATGATAGTTTGGTTCGATAAACGGAAGCACCATTAAGCAATCTATTAAGATATTTAGACGTTTTTGGTGTTATAAACGTACCCATTGTTGCAGATGCGGATTCATCCCCGTAAAACGTGGCGTGGGCGAGGGTCCATGGGCTCGGCACGTAGCCATGGTAGAGAGCAGAACCGCCATGGACGATGATGCTGAAGAAGCAGCAGACGAATCGCCATGAATGATGAAATGAAGCCATTAATGAATGTGTTCGAGTTCTTGATCTTTGAAGATGGTGCTTATTGACTTCAGTATCGACTGCCATTTATAGGAGTCGAAAGCTAGCAACAAGGTGTTGGAAGTGGGTGGCTTTTGTGACCATCACGTAGGTTGACTTTTGCAAGTCAAACTTACTTTTTTTTTTTTTAAAGATTTATGTCGGTAATATGCCACTAAATTCGATCCTATCACGAATGAAACAAAACCATCGCTAATTTATAAGAAATTGACGTGAATCATAATCGTTGATGATAAAATCAATAAGAACATATTATATATATATAGAGAGAGAGAGAGAGCGCGCTCAATCAACACAACTCAATCTCAACTGTCCATTTTATTTAATTAATATGTGATTTCATAGAAGTTTTGATTGTTTCTTAATATAAAGTATTGATCATAATTAATGAACTTTATTCATCTTCTATAAATATTCAAATCATAATAAATAAATTCTCATCATTTCCATAAATATCTCAATTTATTGGGTTGTATTGGTTGTACAAATACGATGAGTTGTATTTGAAACAAACACACTCTCTCTCTCTCTCTCTCTCTCTATATATATATATATATATATATATATATATATAACGGAGTTTATGTTTATTGACGTGTTAAGATATCTGAATGTTGTTTAATAATAAAATACATAGAAATATATATAAATAGACGGGGTTAGGTTCAAGTAAAAAACGTAAAAAAATGAAAAAATTTCATAAGATTAAACAAAGAAATCAACGTATGAGGGTGGTTTGTACGGTTTTTACAAATGAGGGTGGTTTTCATTTGATCGTTTATCTATAGATATATATAGACTTGGGATCATGTGAGACCAAGGATTTTCCGTGAGACCCGTAAGATCAATTCTCAACCTTTGGATTAGATCTACAATCTGAACATTATAATCACAAAATTGCCACGAGACTTCTCAATAATCATAAAATTGTCACCGTGCAACTTTAGACCATTAGATCATTAGCTTATAAAGTTGATCAATGAACATAAATTAATCTTACGGGTCTCATGAAAAACCATTGGTTTCACGTGAACCCTATATGTGTGTGTGTGTGTGCGCGCACGCACATTTAAACTAGAAAACATTTTCAATTACTTATATATACATAATATACAGTAAAATAGTTATAAGAATGTTACTCGGTTTTTAATTTTTTTTTTTTAGGGTTTTTACTCTACACACACTCCTTGTATATATTCTGAGACAAGCATCGGACATAAACAATAGTTTAATGTTCATGGCTGAAATCGCATTGAGAACGTGCGAGCAGGTTGTATGCTGGTTGATTAAGCTAGAGAGTTTTCCAGAGCTGAAATTGCTAAAACCAGATTATGATACAGGTTTTAATGCGTTAAATACAAGTTTTCATGCTAAATGGTGATTGGGTTGTTGGATGACATAAAGAATATGGAAAGATTATATTCCACGTCTGGTTATCCGTACCCGAATTTATGGTACTATTATGTATTATCGAGTTACTTACGTGTGTTTGGAATAATATTTAATCTTGAATGTTCGGATCATCTTATGGGCATCTTAACCCCGTTAACTATAAGGGTGGTGTTTGATTGATTTGAATTTGACTTCAAAAGTTAAAAGTATTAGGAGATCTTAGGTTTAAATCCAATGAAGAATAAAAATCCCCTTATGGCCACGGAGGTTCAAATGCGGTGACTCCGGACTATCTGCAAAGCAGATGGTAGCCCTGGGATTAGTCGGCTCGCATTGCGGGTTGGATATCCAGGTTAATCAAAAAAAAAAAACTCATACTTTATCCGATTGCTTTTTTTAGAATTAAAATATCAGTCAAAAAAATCTTAATAGCAGTAGTGATCCTGAAAGAGCTCAAACCGACGACCTATCAATTAACTGCTAAAAAATGAAACAAGTGTGAATACAAGGGTCAAGGACATAAATCTAAGAGTAAAACGAAGGGATAAAAGAATTAAAAAGAACTTGCGGTCTAGGCCTTGCCAACTTTACTGGATTAGATCGGATAAAAACCGGTTGGCATAAAACTAAGGGTGCGTTTGGTAGAACAAAATTGAGATCACTCTTCCACGTCTGACATGATTTTTGTGTACCAAAAAGTAATAAGCTGATAAGTTATTTTTTAGTGTTTGGCAAATTTTGCTTATATGTATAAAATGACCAAAAAAGACGGTATTTCATATTATTGACTTATTAGAGTGTTTGGAATTGCTTATTAACTTATTTGATTTTTTAACATGTAAATTTTTTTTTTTCATCATTTATAATAATATCTTTGACAAAAATTTATATCAATACGATTAATATTAATAAAACATTAATAAAACAGGGTTAAAATGGTAAACTGGTAATAAGCAGTTTTTCATAAGTCATGAATGATTAACTTATCAAAAACTGCTTACTACCGGTTTGACATCGGTATAAACAGTTTTATTTTTCCTCATCCAAACACTACCATATAGCTTATCACCGATGTCAAACTGAAATAAGTCAAAAAAACACCTAAAATAAACAATCCCAAACACCCCTAAGCCTAAATTTTACCAATAAAACCTAATTATCTTATAAAACATCAAATATGTCTCTCTTTTTACATTTTATCTATTTTTTTTAAAATTTATTTATTTGTATTTTATTTTTTTTAACTTTCACTTTACGGACCTCAAAATATCATTTTATACGTTTTCTATATTTTTCGTTAATTTATGTAATTTATTAGATATTAATAACAAAAGGTAATATAGACTAGGCATAAAATAAAAATCACAAATTAATAGACCTCGTATTTTAGTGTCATTTTAATTATTTTGAAGAAAACTTCCTAAGAACATATTTTGTTATAAAAATATTTATGTTATTATAATACAATAAATTACATAAATTAAGCAAAATACAGAAACAATATAAACAACTTATCAGAGGTAAATTTGTCATTTTGTCTGTCATGGTTTGTCCAATTTTAACTTACCAAACGTTAAACAACTGTTTGTCTTATCTTATTCTGTCATATTTAGATACCAAACACAGTTGTCCTTCTGCAAAAACGGTAACACACCACCATCTGAAAGGCTCTTACCATACCAATCTCACGACCCTAATAGGGAATAGGTCGACGATGCCCTGAAGAAACCACATAGAACAACAAATCACACAGAGTCGAGACAACACACCATGTGCATAATCTCGCACTATCTAGAAAATGGACTCGACGACATCCAACAAACATGAGTCTCGAAACTCAAAACATACAACGCCGTAATACAAGTAATCACCCATGCAGAGGTAGGATCTACAGAGATTAGAATATAATGATATATACAGACCTTGCCTCTATCTTAAAGGTAAAAAGACTATTTCCGTTAAGAAAAAACCTGGCTTGCAAAGATAAAAAATAGAACAAGCGAGCAAACTACAAGTGAATGTAGTATCAAAACAAACAAAAAACATTAGGGGGCATATGTGGGATGTTATCAAGTGAAAGAGTTTGCCTTGTATGAAGAGAGCATGCACCCAATGTTAAATATACATATATGAACATACATAATCCATGGTATCATGTTATACACATGAACATACATCGAATACGATCGAATGCAAATGCGCACTTATGCAACACTATCTAAACAAGCGCTTAAACCCGTCTCCTCTCCCCTATCGGGAAAAAACCCTACGTACAATTTACATTAGCATCTTTCTTCAAATATAGCTCCGGTCATGGTTGATAATTTCACACTGAATCCCTCCTGCAGTGTTGCACTTGGGTTGTAGTTTGATAAAAGTATTCAAACTTTTAACGGGAAAAATGCAACAAAGCTTGTCTTAGACGCCGTTTACCAAATGCTTAATGGGTAAGCGCTTACCGGTAAAAGGCGTTTACCAACTATCCACTTTGATGGGCGAGAATGTTACCCAATAAGATTCCATGTCCTTGCTTTGTCTCTTACCGGTAAGATTTTCCAGTCCTTGTCATGCTCACCCGATAAGGTTAGTGAAATTCAGTAAGTGCTTACCCAATAAGAGTTTGGTAAACAGCCCCTTAGTTTCTATTTAGTTCCTATTTGATGAACTTTTCTCAATTGTTGTAACAAACATTCAGTTCTTCCTATTTCATACGTATCTTGTTGACCGGTAATTAGTAAATTTTTGTAACTATTGATGACGTGGATACCAAGTTGTCAAGTTATATTCTAATTCTTGATTACGTGAAAAAATGGAACATTAAAATCGACCGACGCCATATAGGCTGAAAACTGAAAACTTGTGTTTATCAAACAAAAGGGGTACGAAATAGGAAGAACTGAATGTTAGAAAAAAAATCGTTGCTACACTGAATAGAAACCGAGACAAACTCCACTACACTGAATAGAAACCGAGACAAATTTATAGTATTGCAGAGATAGTATTAAGGAGTACTTACCACAACTCAAGCTTCACTTCCTTCTGGCAATGTTATCAAACGAGTATCTTGATCAAACACTAGTGGGGTTTGACAGCTGAAATCATAAGGTCAATTCTAACATTAATATGTATCCGAAAATCAGATTGTTCCAAGAAGGTTTATTTTCTGAAACACAAAGGATGGTAGCGTGGTGGATATAAACGAGGGGATGATATAATCAATCCGGATAAGAATCCTGCCATCTACATATGTGTTGTGGCCACTGGGAGATTGATGTACATTGAGAATTCAATGTATAAAGCGCTCATTTTATAGTTTTAGCTAATTTATTTTTCTTTTATCCTAATCTTGAGCATTTTTATTACTTTGTTTTCCCCTTTATTAATTATGGAGCTAAATGTATGATTTACTTGTCTTTTACACCATTAAATACTTATATGAATAAATTACAAGCTGTTTGGTGCTATAGCATTCCTGCAGCATGGATCTGGTAGTTTTCGGGTTTTTGAAGGGCTTAATGAGTTAAGCTGCAGAGCACACCTTTTTTTTACTATAAGACCACGATCTAAAGACCTTTTAGGAAGATTCATGGCTGCTAATCACTTTTTAGGATTGATGTAATACTCTAGTTACTTTAAAGTACTTTTAGTTGACCTTTATGTAACTTTGGCCTCAGGTTTCACTTTTGTCTTTTTTTGGCCCCTCTATTTGTCTATAAATAGGGAGGAAGGGTCTTAGTTTCTAATCATCCAAAATCAGTTCTAAACTGATTTCTCTCTAAGATTCAAAGTAATTTTAATATTAAGTCTCATAATTACTTTAAAGTTTGTTCTTTACTTTCAAGTCATTTAATTTCCGCTCTTTACTTTCAAGTCATTTACTTTATGTCTTTAATTTTTGTTATTTACATTTCTTGCAATTTACTTTCACTAATGGGTAGCTAATTCCATTAGTTTGGGTATAAGACAAAGGGTGAGATTATAACCCGAAAAGAAGTGGACATTGTCTAGCAATCGCAATGTTTCACTATGTCATTCAAGTTTTATAAAGCCAAAAACACTTCTTGACGAGTTAATCACTTTGAAAGTGTTAAAATGTCGTGGACTCAGGAATGGCCACTAAATGCACGTCAATTCGATGATATGGGAAGCAGACTTGGAAAAGTTACTAATAAAGGAATTTGTCATCTATGTTTTTCAAATTGATTATTCTCGACGGGTTGGTCGCTTTTCAAAGTGTTAAAGTGTAGTGGACTCAAGAATGAGCCACTAAGAACAGATCAACTTGAAGGATATGGGAATCTGCTCGGAAGAGTGATTTTTAGACAAACTAATTTGTTAATTTATATATTTTGAGGACACCATTTTGCACTATGGTCGTGATACCACGTTGGAATATGGGTTGAAAGCTAAACATTAGTGCAATCGTAAAGTCCGGAAGGAATACCCTCAAAATAAATGGTGGAACTAGTTATGGCTGACTGTTTGCTTTAGCATCCCTACAACATTGTTTGTTGGAATTTGTGTTTATGTCTCACCACAAGTCTTACACCCATGCTACTTATTCTGTTATTTTAAATTGTTAACTCAACAACCAATCAAAGTCTTCAAAATCGCTATTTGCAACCATTTCTCTCATTCTATTTTTGTATTAAGCTTTTACAACGATTGTTGTGGACGATACTCAGTACTTATACCACTTTATTACTTGAAAGCCGATATTAAGGCTACTTGTATACTTGATTTTGGTCCTAATTACCAAGTCTGTGGGTGTGTAAAAGCTCCTATAAGAGATTTACCTCAAGGGCTATGAGCGCAGCCTACAGCCGCGACTTGCTATGGGATTAGTCTGGAAGCCTGGGATCACCCGTTTCCAAAAAAGGGTTCTATTTCTGTCATTCATTCTCTGTTTTGTGCAGGGACGGACCCACTCTATATCATATGTTTCCTCCATCGTGGTGTAAAATTATATAGTCGTGAAATGTGCCAACATATCATTTTGTTATGCACAACCATATATATTTTGAAACAACAATAATAATACAAGTTTCCCTTGGTAGAGTTGGTTTGCATGGTTCTTCTTCTACCCTAGGCGCGGGTTTGAATCGTGTTTGCCGTTTGGGTCATTTTCTTAGTTGTTAGGTTTTAATTTCAGATTTATTATGATTACGAAAAAATTTGCAATAAAAGACTCGAACACAGGACCTCACATGCGTAAAGCAAAGAACTAACCAACAAAATTTTGTAAAAAATATCCATATTATCGTTTCTTATAATCAAATGGTGCCACCACTTGAAAATTTTCCTAGGTCTACCTCAGGTTTTGTGGATCCCGTCTTAGTTTCTTCGAACAAATGGGACCCATGATCATATCTAGATTTCTCTCACACCATATAGTCGATGGGACCCAAGACTAACGTTTAAAGTCATGGAACTTACTTGGTGCATTTGACATTATTGGTGGTACCCCCACTGGAAACGGACAAAATGGTTCCGAAGAATGAAGTATTTTCTGTACCACAGTTTGGACAAAGGCCCTGAAAAGGTAAAATTTAGATGTTATATTAAGGCAAAGAATACTGTTAATCTTGTTAGGCCTAAAGTTTGATGATAAGGATGCTAACCTTCAATATCAAAAAGTCTTTCACAATGACTCTGGTAAGTGAAAAGGATAACCATAATATGAAGGGCAGAGCCGCGAACCAGGTGAAGATGAAACTAAATGGCTCTGGAAGCTGACATAAGTGTTTACAATCTTGAACTTGTTAGAAACAAAGCATCAGTTCTTCACAAGAAAAAAAAAAAGAACAGTTCATACCATGCTAAAGTTAGCAAATTCTATCCAACAAGAATGTTTAATCTTACCAAGGGTCATTGGCCCAGCAGTACACGGATTACTGGTAGATCCCAACCTCCTTGGAGGTCAAGGGGTCAAGCCTCACCAAAACTTAGGAGTGTGCGTGAGTTTTGCCATATATAAAATATTATATACTTAATATGGTCAGTCTCTGGACCGTAGACATGAGTACAAGTGGCAGAAGAAGGCACAAAGAACAAAGAAGAGGAGATATAACAACGTTTACCTCCAAAAGGTATGTGATTTCGAACCCAGTAATGTCATCCAGGAAGAAGAACCTGCCATAAACAAAAAAGTACGTAAAGCAACTCCATGGAAAGTTGAGAGTTAAGTTGCAAGAAAATGTTTGCCCATGAGACACTACAACATATGAAGGCAAACATAAAAGAGCGAAAAAAGTTGGATCCCACCCGATAGTGAACTTGTAGAAGTCGAACTAACATTAAGCCTACTTAAATAAGAGTAACTAATTAGAGATAAACGGCAAGTTCACGTAATTCTAGAGACAAGACAATTGAAATATAACAAGCAATAGAATGTTAGTATAAAGAACTGAATGCACCAATTCTGAACCCAAATTTAGGAGCAAAAGTAAACCGTCACTTACAATCCTAATGCAACAACAGCAGCTGGGACATTTATGAGGAACATTTTGAGATAATCAACAGTCAGATCGCTGTAAACCTACAACCAAGGACATCAGTCATTAGTGAAAGGTCCATGCTTCCTGTGGCCATCATGTTAACTAAACTCTAAAGAAATGGTTTTGCGTATACAGAATACTGCAAAAAGCAGATGTTATCAGCTGCTTGACTCTTCCAAACCAAGATTAAAATTTTCTCATGAAAAAAGTGCATGTTTTCATACAACAAAATTCATTTAATCAAATGGAGTCATTGTTAATGCTGAATATAAGCTAGGTCAACAGTGCATATTAAGCTTTAAATATAAGACTGTCAGTTCGTGATTTATATTTTATAATTCTGCTCTACAAGTCTGACAACACTTTTGTGCATAAACCATGAATGAATACCGGGTGACCATGCATCATCAAGATTCTAACACCCATGTAACTCTAGACTAAAATATGAGCTGAAAAGCATCTATACTCATAATCTACAAGAAAAGTAAAGGCAAGGATCTCAAAGGAAAATACCTTCCTACTACGAAGACTGCAGCGTGGACCCTCAGCCACTATGTCACTTCCATCTTTCTGAAAGAAAGTTATTGAAGATATGAAGTTGTATGTGTATGACAATAGAATAGCAAGCATGAAGAAAGAATCGAACAAATGGGACCATTTTGTATGATAAAGACTTATTGCCAACTATCTATCATAAGTAGCAAGAATGGTACAACTATGATTGTGATAATCACATTCTTTCCATTTTTCAGTTCACCATTGAATCTGAAAGTATGCTTGGGGAAAGGGGAATCAGTAATATGAATAACAATGGCAATGAATTTGATGAAGGAAGACAAAGGAAAACAATTAGGTACTCAAATAGTAACCCCATAGTTCAATATCTTTTGAAATGGGAAGGGAGACATTAAACAAAAGTAGATGGCATTATCGATTTATGTGTAAGCATATAACAGCAAAGCACTCCCCCGAATACCTTTAATTGCATCTTCAATTGGTCATACTCTTTATCACTCATTATCGGGTTACCAGATACATAAGCCATCGAGGCCTCTAAAAACTTCTGTTCATCAGAGCCTGCAATGTATATAACCCAAAGCCATCAAATACAAAGAACATTGACAACATAGTATTTGAAGAGTTCGATAGGTGTCATGAAAAGCAAATACAAGCTATCCATACTTAGCATTACAACACTGCTTCCTTCCCACATAAGTTCTTCCTTGAGGTTATCAAATTCTTCATTTGACATGATAGCTTTTCCTTCATAATAGAATGACTACGAAAGAAACAGAGGAGAAGAATTAGTAATAAACAATAGAATTTTAGTTATTATGATGGAGGAACTCATGTCATGCAAATATTGTAGAAAGAATGAATTAAATTTATTGTCGAAACAGAATTCTTCAGGCTCCTTGTAAAATCCATATGTCACATACCCAGGCAGCAACCCCAGGGTAAAGGCAAGAAAGTAGACTCATATTAAGCAACAAGAAAAGAGAAGATAAAAGAAACAACCGAAGGCATGGTTTACTTACTTGTAATGCTTGTAGAAATTCTTGTTCCATTTCTCCTAGTGTCTTCTTCTGTTGTTTATCTAAGCTGCAATAAGGCATTATGTTGCTATCAACAACTTCATCTTCTTTAACTGGACCTGAAAAAATACGACACCCAAAAAAATAAATATCTGTCGAAGCGGCATGATTTTGAGACAGCATCACATCTGCAGTGTCCAAGTCTTTTTATACCTAGCTGAAACAAAAAAGTAGGCACTAATTTTGGAACAGTGAGGGTGCATCACTAATAACATTTTCCTCATTCCCCAACTTAAGGATCAAGGTATAAATATCTCTTTAATGGTACATTGCACTTTACCCATGAAAAATACCAAAAAAATTCTTGTGCAAATTAAACATATAGTTATCTCTTGTTCTTGGGAGACTTGATCCCATCAGGTTGGTGGCTTAAATCAAAGCACCAAGTACCGCTAAGCCAAAGGCCTCTTAGAAGGTGATGTGCGCTGACTCATAACCGCAGGTTTTAGAGGAAACCTGGTATCAACCCAGAGAATCAGGGATTGTGATATTTAGGAGCCGATTTGGTGGGTTTTAGACATGTTCAAGATTGACAGATGCAAATGGGTTCGAAGCAAATTCATAGATCTCAATGGATAATGGGTCTAGTATTAATGTTAAAAAGAACATAAATTCTTGAAAGTTAAGTACAACACTTCTAAAATATTCCATGATTATTGCTCTAGTTTCACTAAGCTAAACTGAATCGAAGTTAACAATTGAAAAAATCAATGAAAAAAAAACAACGTTTACATATAATTAGAATTTTTTTCATGGTTCAGAAAAGGATTCTTACTTAAAAGTCAGTAGTTAAGAAGTTGCATCATCTCTCTTTCTATTCAACTCCAAACTTAATATATATTTAATAGTATAGTTCAAAACTACGAACTTTGCATATATGCCTATATGGGATGAACCGGATCTAATGGATTCTAGTAAAAACATTAACCTTTGTTGGGTCCAAACCCACAGGTTTTATTCATATTCAAACCTGTGACTGTGAATTATTTATTATCCTGGGGCAGGCTCTCAAGATTTCTATGGGTTCAATAGGTACATGGATTGGACCTCTATCCCTAATCCCCCCAACCACCACCACCACCACCACCTTCTGTACTTCTGGTAGCAATACAAGATAAGGAGCTGGCGGTGACAGTTGACCACTGAGATTGATATCTAGTTCTCCAAGTAATATTTATTTGACATTTGCGGCGTTGAGGTAAAGAGCGATCTGCTTGATGAATTTCATATATTTTAGTTTAATTCCACCACTTAGTCGTTTGTACATTCTTTTAAGACTAACAGGACTTAAAAAACAGAAGTATCCCATCTGAAACACATATAGATCAAGACCTTGTACTACTAAACCATTTGATCACAAGCAGTTACTTTGTGCTCAACTTAAAATTCCACAGAACTAAGTTCCAAAATCACATTCCTTAAACAAAATAAGTTTGAATTTCGTTTCCATGATCCCCATGCAAATAGCATATTCCCAAGCAGTACCTTAGGGTTTTGAAGTTTCAAGGCCTAAATCAAACCAACACCTACTAAAGCACCGTATAATTCCATAATATTTTTAGAGACAACATATACTGTAAAACATGATAGAAGTCCAAAATCAACAACAAGACACAAATTCAAACCTAACCTGGCTGATCAGTGGTCGCCTTCGGAGAAATAATAATCAATCTCCCTCGACCAGAAAACGCTTTTCCGATCAACTGAATTGACTGAACCTTCGAGGCAGCGAACCGATAAGAGCCAGATAACGATGGCCCAACAGATGGTCTTCGAATAGGAGCAGTGAAGAACCGAGAAGACGTTATGGTGAAACCCAATTTCGACGCCATTTTCGCCGGCGGCCGTGATGGTGGTGGAGTGGAGAGTAAGAATTGCAAATTGAGATCATTTTGCGGGTGTTTATTTTGGGAAAGGAATCGAGGAATGAGACAAAATTCAAAGATAAGGTGAGGGTTGAATGTGTGGAGGGAAATTTGGGATCCAAAATATTTCTTGATTTTTTATTTTTCTTTTAATCGGAAAATGCCAGGTCAGCAGATTGTTGGTCAAGGATCTGGAAGAAATCCGTTTCTGGTGACATGGAATCTGCCACGTCATCTTTCAACTCTAAAAAATTTACACGTGTATTGTTGTAAGTGATTAAACGTCCTACTCTCTTTAATGCAAAAGGGTCTTTTATGCATAAATATATATCAAATAAATTACTACAATAAATTATAATAATAAAACATCACATGGGATAACCAAAGATAAAATCAAAATCAAAGCGACAGAGCAAAGTAAGGGGTTGTTTGGGGTTGAATGGTTTTGTGCAAAATGATTAAGAGCCTCTCATAATATAGTGCAAAATGAAATATAATTGTTTATTAATTGTTTACAATGAAATTATGTCTCTTAATGGTTAAAGGAGGCCCAACATACAAAATCATTCAAAGGGTTTTAAAACCATTAAGAGACAGACTTTTTTTTTACCAAACAAGATTCACCACTTAACGATTCAAATATTGTCTCTTAATGAAACTATTAAGAGGTAAACAAACAACCCTTGAGAGAACTTTTTTAAGACGAAACCAAAACCAAAATCCTTTATATTGTGTAGTAATGATTAAACAACGGAAAAGAGTATATCCTAAGCTCAAAATTCTCTATATAAAAAAGCCAGTGATGAGATAGAGCTTAATGGGTTGCTTGAGAAATAGGCTTCTTAGCATCTGTTCGATCAGCTTTTTTTCCAGTAAGGTTCATGAAAAATCACAAAGTGTTAAGTATTACTTAAGGGTTATTTGTTTAGTTCTGAATTATGCCATTCAGAGGCTTATGTTTGATTCTGTCACAATCAAACACCATTAATCAGCTCCATTGAACATCGTCAAGCATCGAGCACAATCAAACATCGTTTTCAACCTAGGTTTATTACGTATATTGAGATTCTATCGAGAATCGATAACAGGGTCGGGAAGTGTAAGAGAGAATGGGCTAAAAAGAGGGGTGCTTTAAAGACTTTGAAAAAAAAAAGAGTTAAATATGCATATGTTTCCAATAATTAAACATTAAAGCATGTTTTTGATATAGTAAAGTTTATTTTTGGTCCCTAATGTTTTTAATTTTCAACGAATATTGTCCATAAACTTTAAAAACTCGAATATGTTTCCTAACGTTTGTCAGTTCTTCACGGTTTTAGTTTTGTGTCTAGTTGTTGTTAACTTTTCGTTAAATCCAATCGAATGAGAGGTGTTTTAGTTATTTTCTTAAATTTATATTAACATTAACAAATATTATATTTTTAATTTCAAATAGTACAACAGAAAAAAGGAAAAATTTTGTTTTTTTTTTTTCATTTTGTTTTATGATTAAGTATTAAAAATATAATATTTTTATTTTATTTTAATATAATGAAATATGAAAATGACTAAAACACCTCTCATTTAATTGGACTTAAGAAAAAAAAGTTAACAACCGTTAGAAAAAAAATGACCAATTGTTAAGAAATGGCAAACATGAGGGACCAGATCCGAATTTTTAAAATTTAAGGACGATATCCATTGAAAATTACAAACGTAAGAGACCAAATTTAAACTTTATATGAGGTCTAATTAGTATTATTGATTGTGGTATGTTGCAGTGCAATTAAGGACCAACAATCCAACATAATCATAGTGTTTCGATGTTGAATTTCGTTATCAATGTGATCATGACAAGAAAAACCGAGAAACAAATGCATAAACGCGTGAAAGAGGGATGTGTAAACGTGCGCCCGTCGCAATCGAAAGGGTATGATAGACGATTAACGAAGATTTATATCAATTGAAAATATAAATGCTAAAAGAGCTGAATAGATCAGTCTAAGTTATTTTCTAAAACCATTACATATTTAAGAAAGGAAGTAAGCAAAACTAAAAATATTTAATATATCTCACTGGAAATAGGGCCAGGACAGAATATTAGAATGTGCACAGACCTTATCTCCCTTTATCATCTCTTTTCTTCCAGATCTATAAGCCGTATCTCCATATATTGTACGTAACTAACAGCCACATTTGTATTATGTATCGTCGTTCGCTTCCCTGAGTAAGCAAAACATGTATTAGCTTTCACGCTTGCAAAAATTTACTGGACTACATATCACTCGTTCGTTAAAAATCGAGTCTCACTTTTATTTTTTATCCATGAGAAACTAAGAGGGTGTTCGATTCACGTAATGTTTTTTGAAATGGGTGTCAAAGAAATTGGAGTTTGAAGTAGTTCGAACGGAATTGGATCTGGTACATGTTTGGTTGGCAGAAAATGAAATGAAATTTGTCAAATGAATTGAAATTTATTTGAATGGTTCCTATAGTATAACTTCGAAAATGTAAGGAGATAATAATATACGATAAGAATATCTTTGAAGTAATTTAACGAAGGGTTTGATTTGCGGGATTTGATAGGATTTAGAGATATCTGGAATTGAATTCCATTTCAATCATGTATTTGGTTTAGAAACATTTCGTCACACTAAACAGCCCGTGATGGTTAAAGAAGTGAAGAGCTAAGGTTGATCAATACTTAATAGTATGGCAAAATGTACTAAATGTAACTAAGGGGATGTTTACCAAACACTTAACTGGTAAGTGCTTATCGACAAAATTTAACACAATCATTGACTTACCGAGTAAGATTTTATTTCACCAAAATGGTACCGTATGCAACAATTTATCCGGTAAGCGCGTATCGTGATAAGAGTCATCGCCCCCACTTACCGGGTATGACTCTTATTTTCTTGTATCGCTCTTACCAGGTAAGATTCTTGGTCCTTTCCATATTCATTCGGTAAGGTAATGTGACTTGGTGTTCACTTACCCGAGTTAGCGTTTGGTAAACAACCCCTAAATGTATTTTTGTTGTTATCTATCGTAATGGTTAATTTATTTTCTCAGTTATTGTAACAAACATTTGTATTATTTGATTTTAATGTGACATTTGCTTTTAATGTGACACTTTCTCTTTATCTCACCACAAGAAAAACAGGCAACAATGGCAGACAAATTCGTAGAAAATCTGTAACTGAAACATGAAGTCAAAGTCCTAGCAAATCCATCGCAAAATATTTATGGCCGTTCAGTTGGTTGCAAATATATTTTGCTACGGAAAATCAGTTAAAGATTAGCTACGGAATGAATTAGTTAGGGATTGTATTAATTACAGATTAGCTACCTATTTTATCAGTATTTGTTCGGATTTTTTTTAAATATCAAATGTAACTACATGATTACGTCTGTAGCAAATATGTGACAAAACTATAGAAAATTATCTCGAATTAGCTACTTATTTTCTCAAAATCTGTTTCAATTTTTTAACTTTCAAATATAATTAAATCCGTAGTAAAATCGTGATAAATGTTATTTTATTATTTATTTAGCAACGGAATTGCGACAAGTCTTTAAGTTTATTTTTTATTTATTAAAAAAGAATGGTTTTATTCGTCGCTAATCCGCGTAAATTTGTACATATTGCCCTAGATTAGTTACAAATCATTAATGCATCTCAAAAAATATGATTTAGGGATCGTTTACCAAATACTTACCCGATAACCACAAGGGTGGTGCCTCATTAGTTTGAGCTTGGCTCCAAAGGTTAAAAAGTACCAGGGGGTCCCAAGTTCAAGTCCAAAGAGGAATAAAAATCCTCTTGTGGCCACGGAGGTTCAAATGCGGTGACTCCGGGCCATTTGCAAAGCAGGTGGTTCCCCTGAGATTAGTCGGCTCGTATAACGGGTTGGATATCCAGGTTAATAAAAAAAAAAATGTTTATCAATAAAATTTAACACTATTATTTATTTACTGGGTAAGATTTTAGTCCACCAAAACGACATCGCATGCAATAGTTTACCCGGTAAGTGCTTACCGTGGTAAGAGTCGTCGCCCTTACTTAGCGGGTAAGACTATTGGTCTTTGTCTCGCTCTTTCCAGGTAAGATTTGTGGTCCTTACCATATTCATCTGGTAAGTTAACGTGACTTGGTAAGTGTTTACCCGAGTAAGCATTTAATAAACGGCCCCTTTGTTTTATTATTGATCCATTTCAATTAGTGAGAGATTGATTCGTAGCAAATTATGTTCATTGTTACCCCTTTCTCAGCAGTGATCTATCGAATACGATGACATAATGTAGCAAAGATTACATAAATATATCAACCATCAATAATGTTTTATATTAAGAGATTAACATAAATTTGATTGAAAAATATGTAATGTGATGTAGGGTTGGCTTTCGTAAGAATCAGAGTTAATATGAGAAGTATAAGAATTAATCTTCACCGCTAAATGCACATTAGGATGAGATGCAGATCATATCAATCTCTGTATTAAATGTGATTTATAGGTGAGTTTGGGATTAAAGGTGATTAAGGGTCCAGATCCTTTAACTCTCATTTTCACACGATCATTCGTTGTATGATATAAGAGTAAATTATAAATTTGGTCCATGTGATTTGTTGAAAATAATACTTTTCGTCCTTGCACTTTTAAAATTACAAGATGGTCATTATGGTTTACAAAACGTTCAAATTTGGTCTCTCCTTCTAACGGTCGTTTAAAAATTTCCTTAAAATCGATTTTGATTGGATAAAAGACACAAACAATCGGTTAAATACCCCTCATTTAACGGAATTATTTAACGACTGTTAGAGGAAGGGACCATATTCGGACGTTCTTGCAAACCACGATTAGCATCTTGTAATTTCAAAATTGCAGGAATAGAAATTGTTGTTTTCAACAGAGCAGAGGGACCAAATTTGTAGTCATATATATATAGAGAGAGAGAGAGAGAGAGACTTGGGATCATGTGAGACAAAGGATTTTTCGTGAGACCCCTAAGACCAATTATCAACCCTTTGATTAGATCTACCATCTGAACATTCATAATAACAAAA